CTACGGTAGCTGCGTACTAAGTAGTACTAAAAACAAAAGAGACTATTATTGGCCAATACTGTAGATTTGCAGTTTGAAACCAGAAAAAAGGCATACAGTGCCGGTCAACAAGATATACAAAAACGTATTTTTCAGTTGATTTTCGGCCATTTTGATCATTTTCAGGAGTCTGGAGGTCGACTGACAAGTTTCCAAACACTTTGAAAACTTTAGGTGTAAAAAAGAGGTGTAAAAAAAGGTGTAAAAAAAGGTGTAAAAAAGAGGTGTAAAAAAAGACCTGGATTGAAAACTTCGCATTCACCGAAATTTTTGCAAATTCCTAGTTTTTCAGTTGTTTTGAAGGACACCTCTTTTTCCAAGTTTTTAGTACGAAAATGGGGCAAAAGGGGTATCCCTACGAAATCGGCAAATAGCTGGAAAACTAGAAAATTTGTAAAATTTTCGTGAATGCAAAGTTTTCAACCTGGGTATGTTTTACACCTTCTAAAGTTTTCAAAATGTTTGGAAACGACAGTCGATATCCAGACTCCTGAAAATGGTCAAAATGACCGAAAATTAACTGAAAAATACGTTTTTGTATATCTTGTTGACCGGTACTGTATGCAGGTCCGAAAAGCTAGCTATACCAACCAACCGCTTTGACCACGACCAAGACTGAAACTCAAACCACCCAGACAGAAAGTGACTTTTCCCCGCCGCCAGTATTCATTATTCAATTAGTTGGGTGTGTTCCAATGTCACTTCACCGGAAGAAACAAAACTAAAACCCTGTTTTTATTTTTCCCTGCAAATGAGCGACAAGCCAAGCGGTCAAGAATAGAGACAGAGAACGTAGTAATATGATTAGTTGTTGATTAGAAACATTTACTCCAAGAGAAGGAAGATTAGGTTATATGTGGCTGTTTCAAGTTCTAGGTATACGTATTAGTGAACTTTGAGGTTTGGGGTGAATCGAGTTTAAACTATAGGACCGCTTATTTTCGACTTCTTGACCGCGGAGCTCAGTTGATAGTGGAGAGGATCTCAATAGATTTTGGGGACATGAAAAAATGTTTTCTCAGCATTTTTGTTCTTATAAACCCATCTCAAGGATAGCTACGTCAAAATGTATACCATAACTCCGAATAACTCCAAAAAGCCTTTTGTATCCCCACCTTTAAGGGGCATATATAGCCAAAATTACAAGCTATACCACCTCTAATGCATTTATTGGTGTTTTGACCAAAAGGAAAACATGAAAACATTATTTTCAGATCACTCAAAAAAAAACTACTACAACTTTTTCCGTCTGTCATTCAAAAAGTGGCCCAACACAAAAATAAACCAATTGAATTTGGCCAACTCGCCACTCAAATCCACCCCTCGTGTGCTCTTTTCCCGGGGATGTACCTTTGGAGGTAGTAGGCAAATAAATAATACATCTAAATTTAAACTGAATGAATCCTTGATTATCGAACCTACTACAATTGGTCGTTGGTCAGAAGGTGAGCATAATAGATCAGAGAAAAGTTGGTGACGTGGATGGGTCTAGGCCAGAGACCTGGAGGAAAAATGGTCCTAGAAGCTCCCAAAAAAAGAGGACCATCTAGAAAATAAGAAATGGAATAGATTCGTTCCCTGGTATCAAGTTACACACAAACTAACTTTTCTATGTATTTTGAAAAACAAAAAAGGAGAAAGACCCCTATAATTTTAGTGTGTATCTCGTCCTTTGTACAGATAATTATAGAGTTAGGGGGTAAGGAAAAAATGGAACGGATCTGGAGAAGTTGGGGTATAATTTTGGGAAAAGATCACTACGGCTTCATCGTGGTGGCCCTGGGGCAGCCCTTTGGGTGCTTTCGACGTTATGTTGGCATGGGCGGCCGAAGAAGTACATATATTAGGGTCTCCAGAAAACCTAGGCCACGGTTCTTCGACCCAGTTAAGACATGTTACAGCAAGGAAAGGCAAGTAAGGGCAAGTTAGGGCAAATTAGGGCAAGCTAAGGCAAGATAAGGCAAGGTAAGGCAAGGTAAGGCGAGCAAGAGCAAACTATAGCAAGCTAGGGCAAGCTAGGGCAAGCTATAGCAAGCTAGAGCAAGCTAAGACAAGGTAAGACAAGCTAAAGCATGCTAAGGCAAGCTAAGGAAAGCCAAGGCAAGAAAAAAAACAAGCCAAGGCAAGCTAGGGTGAGCTAAGGTTCTGTTCAAAAAATTTTTTGACTAGAGAAAAGATTATTCGCGGAGGTTGGGGAAGCTTTTATTCCGGAATTAAAGGCAACATTTTGATCCCGTTAGCAGGATTATTCCATTGAAAAATATTGGATTAACTTTCTATGATCCAGATGAACTCAGGACTTTTTTCAGTTCAAGATTTTTGAGGTTCAGTAAAACCAATTTTTCAGAAGCGTCATTCTAGAGATCCGGGAGCTCAGTTCAAGATCCTTGAGTGTGCTCCAAAAAACAAGAATTCAAGTTTCAGTAAACCAAATTTCCTAGAGAGCAACTTCAAAGAAAAATGGCAACATTATTTAGTAGTATGGCAACTAACTGGTCCCGTGGGAGAAATCAACTTGGACCTGATGTCGAGGGTGGACGAACGAGACAAAAATAGAACATTATTATGATTCTTGGAAAAAAACACGCACACATCATTTTTCTTTTTTTTTTTCAAAAAAAACCGGAGGGGACTGTCGAAGAATTTGAAATTTGAAATAAAAATTGACTAAATAGGCGGATCCTTGATTTCTGAGGGGTGGGGTACAATGTGGTATTTTGTAGTGATAAAATGATGTGAGGGGTGAAAATATGAATACAAAAGTTAATTTTCCAAGGTATGTGTCATACAAAAAACAGGTGTTCCAGAATCGGAGAATACGCTTAGATAGTCTGGAATAGAAGCTAAGCACTTTGAGCTCAATTATCTCGGTTTCTCTGAGAGATATCAATACATTTTCAACTGATAAAATGTTTATGATGGTATCACCAAGTTTTTGTCAATTGAGAGATTTTTGATATATCTCATAGGAACCGAGATAAATGAGCTCAAAGTGAACATATAGGTGGGCGTCTATGGAGCACACTTTCTGGAAAAAAATCCTTTAGTCCGGTAGAGCAGGTTTACTTCACAAGCTGTCAAGTACGCGGCTCCTCTTTTAAACAATGTTCCACCCTATAGTTTCGGGTACACTGTAATGGGATGACCCCTCGTTAAACCAGAGGCCCATAAAAAATAGCGTGTTATTACGAGGAGACACAGAGAGGAGAAATTAAATGCACCCGTTTTATGGGGTACCGTAGAGGGATAAGGGAGGGGTAGTACGATTTTATGGGGTGTGACGGATTTCGGGGTTTTAGGGAATATACTATTTTGCGAAGGAGAAAATTATTTAAAAATTCATGAAAAACTCCTGGCCCTAGCCAGTTAGTTCCAAAATTTCACCTGGACTTGTATACAAAAATAAGTAAACAACTCGGGTCATGTGGCTTTTTCTATGATCTATTAGGCCGATCTACGCGATCGTATATGATAGGGTACGGTAGCCAAAAATCACTTTCGCCTTTCGAAGAAAAAAATAGGTTGACTTCTATGAAAAAAATAAGACTTTCTAAAATTAGAAATCGGTGAGGTCACAAAAACAAGAAAACATTCTTGTCGTTGTTTTCAAGATTTTTGAGTTTTGATGTTCTGTTTAAGATTTAGAAAAAATCAAAATTATTGAAAATTTTGGAATTGCAATATCAGGGATCTGGTCAATGCTATTGATGTGTCTAGATGATCTTTTTCTGCAAGGTGTCCAGTCAATCAAAAAATAAATAAATGCAGGTATTATATTTTTATTGACTCTAAGGGATTCTCTATTGTGCGAAATAATTCCTTATAGCCTTTGTAAAGGCAGGGTGGTCATTTCTTTTCATCGTTCAGTGACGACATAGTTTTCACCATACAACGGACCGGGCCGGGTTTTTTTTTTCAAATTTCGGAGACCCCGCCTGGCACGGGCCCGTCATTTCACAAGTTTCGAAAATTTCAAAAAAACATAACCCTTATGTGATTTTTTCGAGTTTTTTCGATCTTTTTTGATCAAACAGACAGATATTCCAAAAAAACAAAAAAAAGGAGAATATTATATTGAGATCTCAAAATTTGACTCAAAAACACAAGACTTTTAATGCCGGGGCTTCCGGGCTCACTGGGAAAATTGGTTTACTGGACCAGGCCGAGGCTTTGGAGGGCTGGCCGGAATATTACAAGTATGGTTTTCACTCACAATACCGGTCAATAAAATATGCAAAAGCGTATTTTGCAGGTGTTTTTCAGCCATTTCGACTATTTCTAGGAGTCTGGAGCTCGGCTGTCAAGTTTCCGATCACTTTGAAAATTTTGGAGGTTATGAAACAGACCTTTATTGAAAACTTTGCATTTACAGAATTATTTCTAAATTCTCTAGTTTTTCAGCTATTTGCCGATTTCTGAAAGACATTTCTTTTTTCACGTTTTCAGTACAAACACAAGGACCAAAATGGGTGTCTTTCAGAAATTGGCATATAACTGAAAAACTAGGAGTTTTCAAAAAATTCTGTGAATTCAAAGATTTCAACCTAGGCCTGTTTTACACTCTCCAAAGTTTTCAAAATGGTCGGAAAGTTGACAGCTGAGTTCCAGATTCCTGAAAATAGTCAAAATGAAATCAACTGAGAAATTCGTTTTTGTATATCTTATTAACCGGTACTGTACGCCAAAATTTTGTAAGAGATGTTTGAAATTTGTCAACTGACAAAATGTTTTTCACGATACCACAACATTCTAGTAGTTTGATACGTCTCATAAGAATGAAGATAATTGAGGTCAAAGATCAACTAGAAAATTCCTGATAATTTTGATTACCGGAATCTGGTACCTTGAAAAAATACCTTCCAGAAAACAGCAATCTTAATTTCATAATATTCCGAACCACCGTCAGATGAATTTTCTTCATCTGGTGTATCTCAAAACCCTAGATATCCTCTGAACCAAAAATGGGGGAACCAGTAAGTCAGTTGACCTAGATATCAGAGCAACGAAATCTTTGTTATGTATAAAACGCTAGACGCGTCTGTGAGGAGCGGAGAGACTAACCAGTAAAAAACTAGGTTTAATAGCGCCGAAGGCGCGCCAGCTAGCTGATTCTTAATTACAATTATGTTTAATAGTTAGGTCCTATTGGTATATGACTTTGTGGGACACAGAAAGTCTTGAAGGAATGTTTAAGCTAAATTCCAAATAAAATACTGGAATATTCTGGAAACTCCTCGAGATTCCAAGCAAATAAGGAATACCAGGTGATATTCAGGAAGTCCTAACCCACTCAGACATGTCATAATTCGGTATACATAGAGCGCTAACGTAAAAATGGGGGCCAGGTGAAAAATCGCAACATCAAATGACATGCAAATCGAATTGGACCTTAAAATCGAATTAGGTCAAGTTCATTTTTTTTCCGGCTTATGAAATTGATCACTTGGACCAAACATTGTTTTATATCCTCATAGGCGCATCTGAACAATTGTTCTGGATGATGTCAAGTGTAGACAAGTGTTTTTTTTTGTTGTTGAAAAATCGGAGTCATTCAAAAATTCAAAAATCGGAGGACACCAAACTTTATGAATTATTCTACACACATCTCTGTGTGTTGGAAAAGTCGAAAATCGTATTTAATTACATTTGAACCAAAACATAATTAACAAAATAAAATGGTGACTAACAAGTAATTCTGAAAATTTCAGCGAAAATTTTCTTGAGTCATGAAAATTTTATCTACGAACTTGTAATATGAGACTAAGACCACACATAATTATGGAAATATCAAGGGGGTGAAAGTTTAATTAATTTTGAAAAGGGTATGGAGTTTGAAAATATTAATAGATGTTGTTTAAAGTTTAATATTTTTTTACTCGGTTTGTATCACTTTTAAAGGAGCTGACAATAAATACTGAATTTTCGAATTTTTGAATTTCTGAATTTCTGAATTTCTAAATTTCTGAATTTCTAAATTTCTGAATTTCTGAATTTCTGAATTTTCGAATATCTGAATTTCTAAATTTCTGAATTTCTCAATTTCTGAATTTCTCAATTTCTCAATTTCTCAATTTCTCAATTTCTCAATTTCTCAATTTCTCAATTTCTCAATTTCTCAATTTCTCAATTTCTGAAGTTCTGAAGTTCTGAAATTCTGATATTCTGAAATTCTGAAATTCTGAAATTCTGAAACTCTGAAATTCTGAAATTCTGAAATTCTGAAATTCTGAAATTCTGATATTCTGAAATTCTGAAATTCTGAAATTCTGAAACTCTGAAACTCTGAAATTCTGAAATTCTGAAATTCTGAAATTCTGAAATTCTGAAATTCTGAAATTCTGAAATTCTGAAATTCTGAAATTCTGAAATTCTGAAATTCTGAAATTCTGAAATTCTGAAATTCTGAAATTCTGAAATTCTGAAATTCTGAAATTCTGAAATTCTGAAATTCTGAAATTCTGAAATTCTGAAATTCTGAAATTCTGAAATTCTGAAATTCTGAAATTCTGAAATTCTGAAATTCTGAAATTCTGAAATTCTGAAATTATGAAATTCTGAAATTCTGAAATTCTGAAATTCTGAAATTCTGAGATTCTGAATGTCTGAATGTCTGAAATTCTGAAATTCTGAAATTCTGAAATTCTGAGATTCTGAATGTCTGAATGTCTGAATTTTCTAAAAATTCCAACGGATCTATAATGTTCCAGAATCCTAGAAATTTCGCATCCCGGAAAACTTAGAAAACTTGAAAGTTCTGAAAAAAAAGAAAAATTCAAAAAACCTCATACCTGTAACTCAATGAAAAATCATATAAATTTCATCAGTTGAACATTTTTTAATCCAGTTTCAAAAAGTAATGGGGAGATCAATCACATAATTTCTTATTGATCTTGTCATCTCACTGCATGAATTGTCTAATTTCAGTTCCAGGAATCGAAAAAAATTATGTTGAATTTCACAGCAGATTTCTTCACAACGCTCGTTTCTAGATTCTCCACCAGCATTTGACCGGGGCCCGGGTTCGATCCTGGATCCCAGACCTCCAGAGCTCCAGAGCTCCAGAGCTCCAGAGCTTCAGCTCCAAAGCTTCAGCTCCAAAGCTCCAGAGCTCCAAAGCTCCAAAGCTCCAAAGCTCCAAAGCTCCAAAGCTCCAAAGCTCCAAAGCTCCAAAGCTCCAGAGCTCCAGCTCCAAAGCTCCAGCTCCAGAGCTCCAGCTCCAGAGCTCCAGCTCCAGAGCTCCAGCTCCAGAGCTCCAGCTCCAGAGCTCCAGCTCCAGAGCTCCAGCTCCAGAGCTCCAGCTCCAGAGCTCCAGCTCCAGAGCTCCAGCTCCAGAGCTCCAGCTCCAGAGCTCCAGCTCCAGAGCTCCAGCTCCAGAGCTCCAGCTCCAGAGCTCCAGGGGAGAACTGATTTTTTCCACCAATTCTCTCTTCCTTTATAGTGATCTCCCAGAGGTCAATGGGCCATAAGAAACCATCGCACGTAGTTTTTTTCTCTAATTCCAAAGTTTTTATTCACAAAAATAGTTTTTTTCTCCATCACGTTTTTAATAGCACTTGAATTTTCGATTTTTAAAGTCTGTGGAACTCTTATAAAAAAGGTTGTCCCTTTGACCCGAATTATCTCGTTTGCTGTTGAGATATCAAAAAGTGGTCAACTGAGAAAAAGTTTATTATAGCATCAAAAACATTTTTCTGTTGACCTCTTTTCGATATACCTTACAGGAACTTTTTTTTTCCTGTATCTTACAGGAACTGAGATATATTGGCTCAAGGTAAACGAACTATTCTCAACATAATTATTCACAAAGCAAATTTTATTGCAACGATACAACATTATATTGCTGGACAAAATAAAATAAAAATTTTCTTCCAATTACTGTAGTGAACATTTTTCGGGGGCAAAATCGAATGGTGGTGGTGGTGGGGGGATGGGACTGATGAAATGAGAAGATTGAGAAAAAATAAATCAATATCAGGTTAAAGAATTTGGTACGTCGAGTCACTGAGTATCAATTTGTTAGCGATTTGGATGGGTCATGGGTCTAGAAGAGCAAAAATTAGGAGGGGGACGATGACGTGGAATACGGAGTACGGTAGGTGCCGGGCTGAGTCAGTAATATGAATTGTCACTGAAGTAGATTGGGTAGCCGGAGCGTTCGTAGTCGCATAATCTGAAATGAAAATAAGGGTCATGA